TATTTGTGCTCAACCATCTTGGTGTAGGAAAGAAGAAAGGGAACTTGTAGTCTGATTTTGGTTTAGATTAGATAGAAAGAGAGGATAAAGATTCCAATCAAAGTACTGCTTCAGGTGATAGAACGTGAAGTTGCTGGGCATGGAAGGAAGAGAAGTGAAGAGCCAACAAAAGGGAGAAAATGGAGGAGTAAGCTCATGAGAGAATAAAGGTGATCAATGAATGGCATATTGGAATTTAAAATGTCCAGGGTAGAGCGATCTCAGGTGATATGAGAACTTAGTGTACCCCTGGAAGTGGGTGGCTAAAGTGAATAGAAATGAATTTTGATGCTGGATGGAGCATCTAAATGGATGATGAATCTTTTAGGATTATGAAGAAGTTTACTATGAGCTTGGTCTCAGCCTTCGGTGAATGGGGCAAGTGCCTGAAGGTGGTTAGATGGTAGTGAGTGAGGTGTGTAGTTTGAGTGGTAGCCGAGTTGCAGGGCATAACCTTAGAGAATGAGCTTATACAAAATTGGTAGTGGTGTTTCCTTCTGCTACCTACAAACATACTTTCTGTGTGTTTGAGTTTAAGAGTTAATTCTTTGTATTTTATAGTTATGTTAGCTGTTTAAATTTATACTTGATGATACTACCATTTTAGATTATTAATTTTAAAAATTTTGAAATAAAATTTACTTCCAACAGTATTACAGTAGATTCTTGTGACCTTACAAAACGTATTAGAGGCCCTGTAAATTTATGTCCTCAGGAGAGACGGGTCTTTTGCTTCCTGCATGGTAGGATCAAGTAGGTCTAGAAAACACTGAGTGTTGAGAACTAGTGGACTACATGACCAGTAAAAGTCATTCCTGAGATCGTGTAGATGTAAGAAGATTTTGATTTCCAAAAGGTTTTTATATGAAAATAGTAAGAGAAATACGGAGCTACTACAGGGGCATTAAAGTTAAGTTACGGTTCTTCAGGATGGATATATGCATATTAGAAGTTAAAGAAAAGGTACTTGTTAAGGGGGAAGAATTGGGTGAATGGAGAAGAGATAATTCTGAAAGCAAGATCGGGAAGGAAGTGTGTTGGTGTTTAATGCAAAGATAAGGGGAAAGGGACAAGGGAAGATAATTTCGTGAACAGATCTTGAGGTAGAGATTGGGGAGCTCACTAAAGTGTGGAGGCAGTGTCATTGGTTGAGAATAAAAGACGGTAGAATTAGGGGCCAGCCCCGTGGCTGAGTGGTTAAGTTAGCACGCTCTGCTTTGGCGGCCCAGGGTTTCACCAGTTTGAATCCTGGGCACGGACACGGCACTGCTTGTCAAGCCATGCTGAGGCCGCATCCCACATTCCACAAGTAGAAGGACCCATAACTAAAAATACAAACTATGTACCAGGGGGCTTTGGGATAAAAAGGAAAAATAAAATCTTAAAAAAAAAAAAAGAAGGTAGAATTAAAGGCTTGAAGAGACTTGAAATAGCCCTTTTGGAGAGTACTGTAAGAGGATTATTGTTTGCCAGTAATAACCTTAATTGAAGATAGAAAAGTATGTGAACTTGTAGGCCAAGGGAACATGATGATCTGACTTTCTCTAACAGTACCTTTGGTCTGGGAGGAGGTTGGAAAGCAGCTGATGGCATAATTCGGATTGGAATTTAGTATCCTGGAAGATCTGGAGGTTAGTGGAATGTATAAAGTACTGTTGTGGGTAGCTCTACATGCTAAATAACACGTGTCTGATGCAACCAGAAGGATGCACTTTTTTTTTTTTTTTAAAGATCGGCACCTGAGCTAACATCTGTTGCCAGTCTTCTTTTTTTTTGTTTTTCCTTCTCCCCAAAGGCCCTCAGTACGTGGTTGTATATTCTAGCTGCAGCTCCTTCTGGTTGTGCTATGTGGGACACCACCTCATCATGGCTTGATGAATGGTGCCATGTCTGCGCCCAGGATCCGAACTAGCGAAACCATGGGCTGCCAAAGTGGAGCACATGAACTTAACCACTCGGCTACAGGGCCGGCCCCAGGATGCACATTATAAATATATATGCTGCACATTTAGATGTAGAATTAGCACTAAAACAATATTTTTAACTTCTATCTCTGTTTGGAACTCTAAATGAATTATGTTCTAGTCTCTGGATTTATGAGAGTTATACTCAAGAAGAATTGTTGAATCATAATAGCCAACACTCTATATGTTTATGTGAAAGAAGGGAGAGCTTCAAAATTGAATGTCACTTAGTTTTATTGCATTCTTATCGTTGTTTTCTTGTGTTACTGTTCAACACAATGCTTGGAAAAGTTTACCTAATTTTAGAGAGTGAAGAGCTTAGGTAGCAAGTTAAACCCAGAGGTTAATTTTGTTCAGATGTTAATATATTTCATCATCCAACTGTAAGACAAGTAGCAATCAGAGAGATGTGAATTCAAAGAACAGTCAGGGCTGTGTTCTGTAGTCTAGTCGAAGATTGTCTGACACCTTTCTCCCCTCTGACCTCTTACTTAGGACGGGTGAATTAATAATGGGAAAAAAAAATTATAGTTTAATCTTGGAGCTAGCATGCTAAATGTCTTATTTAATTTTTGATTTAAGAAGACTGTATTACCTGTTGAAGTCTTTAAAAATGTATTTAGCTACAGTACAAGTTAGCAGGCTGTACACTGTTCTCGTCTTTTAGTCTTCAACTGAATTTCTACCTGCTCTGTCAATCTTGCCTGCATCACTCCAGCCCAGTAATCTTGCTTTCTTATAAACTCAAAGCCCCTTTGTACTCTTCCTTGGGAGTCTAGGTAATGAAGGTATCAGTTTCTTAGGAGCAGAGATTGAGCAAAACATTTTGTACCTGATAGATGCTCAGCAGGTAGTCCTAACCAGCTCCACATTTGATTGCATACCTTGCGTGGTTGAAGTCCTAAAGACAAGTTCCAAGAAAGGGGGGGAAATCAGCCCTTTATTCTTAGCAGTAGTTCTTGTGTCCACAAGTATCTATAGGATGAAAAACAAAAAACCAATGGTTTTGAAGAGTTTAAAAGATACCCATAATATTAAATTATTTGTATTAGTCCTCTTGTACTCTGGATCTGATTCTGGCAGGGAAGTAAGTGAAAAGTGAGGGCTGGGCAAGTTAATTCCAGGTAGATTTAAAAGAAGCATACGTGTGGCCGGCCCCGTGGCCGAGTGGTTAAGTTCTCGCGCTCCGCCTTCGGCAGCCCAGGGTTTCCCCGGTTCGGATCCTGGGTGTGGATGTGGCAACACTCATCAGGCCACGTTGAGGTGGCATCCCACATGCCACAACTAGGAGGACCCACAACTAAAAATATACAACTACGTACTGGGAGGGTTGGGGGAGAAAAAGCATGGGGGACAAAAAAGAAGACTGGCAACAGCTGTTAGCTCAGGTGCAAAGCTTTAAAAAAAAAAAAGTAGCATACCTTTAAGAAGAAATAGGCCTCTGGAAAAATTATACTATTTATGTGTTAACGTGTCTTTACTTTGATCAGCCTGTACCAAACTATGCCAAAAAAAACCCCTCAATATTTGTATACTACCCTTATTCCTTTTTCAGTAGAGTACTTCTTTATTTAATACAGTAGGAAAATAGCCATTTGGGCCTTTGAGCACAGTTTGTGTTTAAATAGGTTCTCTATTTGCAAACGAAAACTGCGTTTTTGGTTGAATTGCTTTAAGTGCACACTGATATTTTTATAACTTTTTGCTAATTGCTTCTTTGTTTCTCTTTTCAGGGTGAGTATATATGGTTTATTAAGTCCTCAAGATATGCATTGAATTAGATATCACAATCAGGGCACAGATATGGGCAGTTAAGCGTTTGTTATCATAAGATTCTGCAGAGACATTTTCATATTTGACCCACCTCAGATGTTTAAAGTCTCTGTTTAGTTCTGCATGCTACTAAAAGGCGTACATACAAATGCATCAGTGAATTAATGAACTAGAGTATTAAGTGGTAGGCATGCCTGGTTTATTACTCCATTGAAAGCATCTTTTGTATTATTTTATGCTCCCATTTCTTCCTGCAGTAAATTTAAAAGTATGATATGAGCAAATAAGTTTCCATTTGTGACTTGGTTTTTGAAGTAAAGTCCTTTTTGAGATTAAGATGAAATATAACAAAGTTAAAATGATAGGGGCTAGTTGGGAGGTGAGGCTGATTAGTGATATGTTTAGATTACAGAAAATTAGAAAAGATAAATGTTTTTACATTTAGTGTTCACATACTAGAACTTGATAAACCTTAATATTATCTTTCAGAAAGACTGCTTTAACGAACAAGTAAGGATAATTTATACTTAGTATATCAAAGCACTAACCTCAGCAATTTCTTTCAGCAAAAATTATGAGTTGACTGTAAATGGATATTAACATGGAGATATACTTCACACTATTGGGTTGCTTAGGATTTTTTTTAGTAGCTAGTGCAACCTCCTTTGGGCCTCTGTTTACTTAACCTATAAAATAGGTAGAGTAGGGGGCTGGCCTGGTGGCATAGTTAAGTTCACATGCTCCACTTTGGCGACCTGGGGTTCGTGGGTTCAGATCCTGGGAGCAGACCTACGCACTGCTCATCAAGCCATGCTGGAGCATCATCCCACATACAAAATAGTGGAAGATGGGCACAGATGTTAGTTCAGGGCCACTCTTCCTCAAATGAAAAGAGGAGTTTTATATAGATAGAGAAAATTAAAAGTCAGTGATAGCATTTAGAGCAATGCCTATTTTTCCCCTTTGGCTTATCAGCAAATCAGTGCTACAAATTTTGGTGTTCTGTTTTTCATGCTTCTGAAATGGATATGTCCCCCAAAAGTAATATGCCCGGTTAATAAATGTCAAATACAGTAGTTCTTAAAATTTTATGTTACAGTGTTTTGGGTAAAAGCGTGAACAGTTTTTTGGTAGGAAAACCTTTAAGGGAATTGTTTGCTGGCTTGGAATACTATCTTCCTTTGTGTTTATCTTAATTATAGCTTTTTTCTTTCTTTGTTTCAGAAAAAGCCTGTGCAGAAGCTGGGTCAGCAAGAATGTCACTTCTTATATTGGTGTCCATTTTCTTATCTGCAGCTTTTGTTATGTTTTTGGTATATCAAAATTTTCCTCAGCTTAGTGAGTAAGTATACTGAAAGAAACTGAAAATGTCTAGACATTTATAGAGATGAAAGCAGATTAAAAGTTAAACTAATTTTCAGCAACAGAACTGTCACGGTGATTGTGTATCAACTCTCATGGCTTGTGGCAAGTCCATATTGATGCTGCTATTTAAATGCTTCTTTCCAAGTATGCCTCCTGATTTTCTGAGCAGGGTTTTCCTAGCATTGCTTCTCCTATTAAGGCCTCATCTTTCTAATGGCTTTCACAAGTTTTTTTTTTAATATAACCACATTTAGAAATACAATTTTTATATCATGGTCCTGCCTGTGTACGTGTATCCTCCCCCTCCACTTGCATACATGTATGCATATAAAACTAAGTTAAAGTTTCATGAAATGGGTGGTAGTCTTTGATATTTTCTCAACTATTCTATTTATTTTATTTTATTTTTATTTATTTTATTTTTTTAATTAAGATTATAATAGTTTACAGCCTTGTGAAATTTCAGTTGTACATTATTGTTAGTCATGTTGTGGGTACACTACTTCACCCTTTGTGGCCTCCCCCCACCTCTGCCTTTCCTCTGGTAACCACCGATCAGTTCTCCTTGTCTGTATGTTAACTTCCACCTATGAGTGGAGTCATATAGAGTTCATCTTTCTCTGGCTTATTTCGCTTAACATAATACCCTCTCATTTTATTTTTTAATGCTGGGAGTGACCAAATAAATTTATTTTGCAGTCCATAATAGATATTAACCTGCCGTTTGAAAAACACTGATGCTCTTCTCTGCTTTCCCCCCCTTTCCATCCATTTTCTCCCTTCCCACTTTTCCTTGCAATCAATTTTTGTCTGCTTCTATCTATCCATTTCCTTCCCCACCACATCGCTGTCTCCTAGCTCTTTTTCTCTTCCCTGTTTTGTGGAAATGATATGGGCTGAATAGGTACTTTTCACAGTGAGAGGGACCTTATAAAAGACTTGTATAGCTAGTACACGTCCATAGTTCCTTAATCAAAACCTTGGGGGTGAAATGTGTTTCAGGATTTAGAATTTTTCCATTTTAGAAAGATAACATGGAATAAATATGGTATATTATGGAGTACCTCCAGCAGGATCTGGGGCAGCATCCCATAATCAAATATATTGACATTTTTGCAGAGAAATCTGCATCATTAAAGATTATAAATAACATTATATAATTGTGGGTTAGTTTTTGCTGACAAATTATAAAGAACTTTTGGTTTTGAGAGTTTTTTTAATTTTAGGCAAGAGATTATGGACCTGAAACATACTTTAAGAGGGCAAAATATCCCAGGGTTATTTAACCACAATAATACCATTCTTGTGTAATCATAGATTGCATAAGGGACTACTAAAATGTGGTTAGACTTTCAACCAGGGCCAGCCTGACGTGCTAATGGATAACTGTGAAATGTGATTTCAAGATATCTGGAAGTTCCTTTTCGTCCATTAACAATTCCTTATCCTTGAAATTTTATGGTTAAACTTTTTATTTTAATACTTTCATTTCTTACATTAATGTAAATACCTTTAGGACGATAGCATGCTATATTGTTATGTTAATATTAGTATGGTTGAATTTTAGATCCTTTCTGGTTTTGATCAAGGAGTAAGAAGTAAGAGCCGACTGAAAGCAGGAAAGAATATAGAGTGTAGGTTAAGGTTGTCTTTGCTCCCAGTCTGCTCCAAGAATGATAAGATCACTTGTATATAATAATGTGCTATTATAAATCTTTTATATTCTGCTTATTTCTTTTTGTGTGTGTGTGCATGCATTCATGCACATTCCTATCAAGAATATTTTTAGTTTTTAAATTTATAAATGGAAAAGCTCATTTTAGTTTACTTGCTGTTTTTATAGCACATAAGCAGCATTTTATCATTGTTGTGCAAGGTCAGTCAAATTTTGTCCTATAAACAAATGGGCGCAATATACATTAAACACAAAGGTGATTATTTGAGGTTTTTATAAGCAAGAAGTCATTCAGTTCCAAACAAAGCACCAAATATAAAGTAAAATTAATAAAAAGAAAAAACTGTTTAAGTTTTTATCTGAGCTTTTCCAGAAAAGATGGGAACTGTAAATTCATTAAAATTCATTAAAATTTTTACTTAATTTCAGTTGTAACTGATTATTGACTTTAGCTTATCATGAGGATTACCCAAAATGATGTTAAATATGTTTTAAATATGTTAATGTCACTGGTTCATTTCTTAATTCAGAATTTATGCTAGTGTTGGAACAAATGCTTTAACCTTTAGAGTCATCCTGAACTTTCATATCTAGATTACACATCTCATGAAATTATATTAAAGCATTAAAAAACAAGTAATTTGCAGACTTTTCAACTTAAAGATTGTGAATTTATGCTTAACTTACAGATCAAGGCGTCAAATCATTTTGGATAAAACTTCATGTTTTGAACTTGACTTTGATATTAATTATCTTGGCAAATTTCTGCTTTAAAATTTTTTACTTTAATTTTATTTCTTTAGAGAAGAAAGAGTGAATATGAAGGTTCCCAGAGATATGGATGATGCCAAGGCTCTAGGAAAAGTTTTATCCAAATATAAGGACACCTTTTATGTACAAGTACTTGTAGCTTATTTTGCTACATATATTTTGTATCCTTTTAACTGAAAATGTTTTCTAGTTTTGTTCAAGAAAAAGGTTTTAAAAGATCTGCTGTTCAGTATACATTAATTATTTTTCTTTTTAAAAATTGTTAATGCAGTGTAACAATATTAAATAAAATATTGAAAAATTAGAATGAAAAAAATTCTCACTTTAATCTTATATCTTCAACTCAATTGTTATTTCTGAATGTTTATTACCAATCGTTTTGTATTCTGCTTATTTCACTTATAAACATTTTTCTGTATTATTGAGGATAATTATTTTATTTATCTTATTTAATTTTTATCTTATTGTTTGAATTTAAATAATTATTTTGAATTAATAGTGATCATACAATAAGTTTTAAAAAGTTTCCTTTTGCTTTGAAGATATAATTTGTACTTAATTTATTGCTTTTCTACATGTTGTGTTACGTATGAATCTTTTTGTTCATGATTTTTTCTTCCTTGTAATTGTCGTCTTTGTAAAAAATCCTGAGGATAATTAGTCAAAGGAATTTTTTTATAGTTCTTAGTATGTATTTCTTTGTTTTATATAAATATATGTTATATTTTAACTAGTCAGGAAAATAACTTTATTCTTTCTATCTATTTTCAAACTGCTTGTGCTACTGGTGATTAATCTTCCAATTTGTGGACTTTAATTTCTGGCTTTTGTATCTTTTATTCTAATCCAACCTATTTTTCAAATCTTTGTTAATGAAAGACATTGTCTCTTGATGTTGTGAAGGTAATCATCCTTTTTAAACCAGCTCTTATTTTGAAAAGGCAAATGAGTTACTTTGTTAATTCTCTCAAACTATTTCCACTCTGGCTTCCTGTTTTATCTCCTGAATTTCTTCTGGTGTGTTGGATTTTTCAAGTGAAACTTTTTCTAGTAAAATTGAATAGCATTTTTTAACTTGGATTTATATTGGATTAGATATTGTATATTTAACATATATATGTGTTCTTCCAGTTACCTCTTTATGCGAATGTTTTGAGTATGTACTTAGACACACTGGACCAATTACTCTTAGCATAAGCAACTTCATGACAAGTACCTTTACAAAAGCTTTTGCTGCTCATACAAACATTACTCCTTGACCACCTGGTGAGGATACATTTTTATTTAGGTAATGTGCTCTACGTAAGCACTTTGTCATTATCCTCTCTATTTATCATTAGAAACATTGAAATTTGGGGAAAATTTAGAGAATAATTATTATGCTCCTATCTTTGATGGGTCATTTGGGGCAGCTATTCGTGAAATAATTTAATTGTTTGTAAAGTGTTTTGAGAACTCTGTAACTGCTGCCTTTTCTTACTAATTCCATTTTGTCACCCATCTGTGAAAACCATAGTGTTAGGCTTATAGGTTATTTTGCCTTTATAAACTTCAACAGTGAGTTAAAATATTTTCCCCAAATAAGGAACAAATTTGGTTCATCCCTTTCATTTGGCTTCTATAACGTTTTTGTAAACATTTTGTGAACAAGGCATATGGTTTCTATTTACTTTGCAAAGTCCTCTTTTTTGCCCCATTTTGCACCCCCAACTTTGGGAGGGAAACATGGCTGAGGGATAAAGGGGATGCCCACCCATAGGGCTTAGCCAGTTAGCATAAATGAATCTTGACCATCTGTGGGGTAAGAAATGCTGTAGCCTAGTTGTCTTAATGTCCATATGCAGATTAGTAGAAAAGAATAAACTGCCCTATAGAAAGTGAATTGAAAGTATAGGAATGGGTTTATTATTACAAAGTACATTTGGTTTAAAATTTTTAATTTTAAATAAATTATTGGTTAATATTATTGTCAATTCAGCAGGTTTTGTTGCATATTGTTAGTTTGCTTAATAGGTAATTGTAGTGATTGCACATTTCAGACTTTTTTATAACATAATTTGTTAAATACATTTTTTAAATAATTTTCTCTTTACACTTTTGAATCTCAGTGAACAAAAGAGAAAGACTTTATCTTAGAGCATATATCTCTATGCTGTACATATATACATGTATATGGATATATACGTGTACATGTATATAATACAGTGCTGATCAACAGAAATATAATGTGAACCACTTGTAATTTTTAAATTTTCTTTGGCTCATTAGAAAAAGTGAAAAGAAACACCTAAAATTAATTTTAATAAAACAGTTTACTTGAACGAGTATATCAAAAATATTATCATTTCAACATGCAATCAACATAAAAATTATTAATGAGATATTTTACATTCTTTTTTTCATGCTAAGTTTTTGAAAAGTATGTTTTTTACACCCATAGCACATCTCAATTCAGTCTGGGTGCATTTCCTTGTCTCCATAGCCGCCTGTGGCTAGTGGCCACTGTTCAACAGTGTGGGACTAGTACCTTCATTGGTAATGCCTAACTTCAAACTCTTATATATAAATTACTTTTTACATTACAGTTACTTATTTTAACCCTAGCATTCATTCATTTAACCAGTTTTTTTAAAGTACTAATTATATGCTAAGTACGAATCTAGTGTTTTGAGCATTCAAAAGCAGAACTGTTTCTGTCTGAAATAATGGGGAATTATGGGTAGAGATACAGCACGGTCATTTTGGACAGAGCAATCCCAGAGCAGAGCTTACAAAGCACAGGGCATAGTTAGAAAGTGATCAGTAGTCAAGTTTAGTTGGAGTGTAAGGCATGAGAAGGGAAAGATTGAGAAGTAAGTTTAGGAAGGTAGGCTAGACACTGCATGCAGATTATAGAAGACTGAGTACCAGGCTAAGGAATTTAGAATATTCATTTGATATTGGGTAGTCACTGAGGACTTTTAAGCTGTGGATGATGTTAAAAGTGTCACCATCATCTCGTTTGTTTCCCTGAGGCTAAAAATCTTAGAGTAACTTAAAATTTTCTTTTATTATGGAAAATTTAAAACATGCACAAAAGTAGAGAAAATCATATAATGAACTCCTTCGTACCCATCACCCAGCTTCAAAAATTATTAATATTATGCCAAGCTTGTTCTTGGAAGTTATCTTTGACTTTGTATTTTTGGCCTTTTAGAGAAAAAAAGACTAGGTAGAGGACCATGTTTAGAGTAGGGAAAGGAAGATAACGTTTACTTTGATTTAGGATATGCTCAGTTTTAAATATTCAGATAGAGGTATCTATACCCAAATGTCAATCAATAGGGGACTGGTTGAATAAACCATGGTAAATCTAAACATGGAAGTACTATATAGCTGTTAAAAAGAATGAGAAGTATCTCTCTATGCAGTTAACACATTACCTCCAGGATATATTGTTAATTGAAAAGAGCAGGTGCAAAATAGTCTAAGGATGCTATGTTTTATCTAAGAAGGGGAGAATATGAGTACACAGGTAAACACACAGGTATTTTGTTATATTTTTTAAAAGAAAGGATATCTTTAAAAAACCAATACAAATGTTTACCTATGGGGAGAGAGATGAAACAAGGGTGGAAGTGAAACTTCTCTAAATATACTTCAATGTGTACATTTGACTTTAGAACCAAGTAAATATTTCACAAAATTATAAAACCGATTAAATCAAAATGAAGAAACAGGAATTTTAAAAATCTAAAGCAACCTCACACCTATTAGTATGGTTTCTATCAAAGAAACAGAAAATAAGTGTTGACAAGGATCTGGAGAAATTAAAACCTGTGAGCCCTGTTGATGGTAATGTAAAATGGCGCAGCCGTTGTGGAAAACAGTATGATGTTTCCTCAAAAAATTAAAAGTAGAATTATCGTATGATTTAGCAGTCCCACTTCAGGGTACATACCCAAAAGAATCGAAAGGAGGGTCTTAAAGAGATATTTGCACACGCATGTTCATAGCGGCATTATTCGCAATAGTCAGTAGGTGGAAGCGACCCAGGTGCCCTTTAACGGATGAATGGATAAACAAAAGTAGTACATACATATGATGGAGTGTTACTTAGCCTTAAAAAGGAACGAACTTCTGACACATGCTACAACATGGGCGAACCTTGAGGACATTATGCTAAGCAAGATTAGCCGGTCACAAAAAGATACGCTGTGTGATTCCACTTTCATGAAGTACATAGAATAGTCCAATTCATAGAGAATGAACGTAGAAGGATGGTTGTCAGGGGCTGAGGGAGGAGCGAAGAGGGAATGTTGTTGAATGAGTGTAGAGGTTCAGTTTTGCAAGATGAAAGGACTTCTGGAGGTTGTTGCATAACTGTGAAAGAACTTAATGCTACTGAACTGTACAGTTAAAAATGGCTAAAAGGGTAAATTTTATGTTATATTTTACCAAAATTTTTGAAAATTAAAAAAAATCTAAAGCAAAATTAAACAATGAATTTAACAGTATATTGAGTTTGTCAGGATTTGACTATCTAGAGGAATTATTTCAAATTGTCTCCTTGAAAATAGTAATTTGACTATGCATCCCTCCTGGGATAAATCTTAAGGACAAAAAAGATTTGAAAGAAATCTTAAACTATTTTCAGTTATTATATTGCTGTGAAGTTTTTAAATGTGTAAAAAATGTTTTAGAATAATACCAATGTATATATTTTATATAGTATATATTTAATAGTATGTAAAGCAAATAGTTAATTATGTTTATAACATTAAGAACCAAGATTTTTAAGTGTAAGGGAAAAGAAATGCAAATCTAAACAGAGCTGGAAAGTTAAGCTCAAATTCCATTCCCAAGCAGAGAGAAGAATGGCTTTGTTAACACTTACTACAAGCTAACAGACAGAGGAACGAATTAAATCACTCGAAGGGATACAATAGGCACAATTCAAAAAGTGGTGAATTTTACCAATGACTTGGTTTCTTCAACAAATAAATTGCAAGGAAAAAAAGGAACCTGTACTTCAGTGATATAATGAGCAAATACCACGTGTGGACCTTATTTTGATCCTGATTTGTATAAACCAGCTATCTAAGAAAAAAATTATGAGGCATTTGGGAAATGTGAACACAGACTAAATAGATATTTATGATAGTAAGGAATTATAGTTAATTAATGTCTTGATGTGTGACAATGGTATTATGTTAAAAAGAAAAGGAATCCTTATCTTTTTAAAGGTATTAAAGTAGTTGCACATGAAATGATATGTGTGGGATTCGCTTCAGAATAATCCAGTGTAGGGGGTATAGATGAAACAAGATTGGTTGTATGTTAATTGTTGAAGCTGTGTATGGGTATCTAGGGCATCATGATAGCAGTTTCTCTCCTTTCATAGGTGTTTAGAACCTTATTTGAAAAGTTTCAAAGAGCCCTGAAATAATCAAAATTTATTTTTAATTAATTTTTTTTTAATGGAGGCACCCAGTAGACAGATGGAAATTTTGAGACTGGTATTTGATTGGAAAAGTTGAATCAGAGATAGAGAATTCAGAGTTATCAGTATATATGGCCATTTACTTGAAGCCGTATATACTTCTGTATACATGGAAATTGCTGAATTTATCAAAGGAGAGGTAGAGGAGCGTGTGGCTAACAGCGCCTTAGAGAAATCCCAGAGTTGAGGGTGAGGAGAAGAAAAAAACTAGAGAAAGAATGATGTGTAATGTAGAAGAAAAGTACAGTTCACTGGAGCTGAGTTTCACACCAGAGGATGTCTAATCCTGTGCAGCTGTCACTAAAAAATGACTGCTGAGAACAAGTCAGAACTCTTGGCTAGGAAGAAGTTTCAGTGGAGTGATGGGTGGGTAAGTCAGGTTGCATATCTTGGTCAAGGAAAGCCTCGGTTTTCTTTAGTTTATAGGCATCTGAATGGGTTTGTCCAGGAGGGATCCTGTGAAAGAGCAAGAAGTTGAGGATGAAAGAATCCAAGAGGAAGAAAGAGGAGATTGACAGGAAAACATGAGCAAAGTGGGAACTAGAGAAAAACAGAGAGGGAGAACGGGTGAAGATAGAGATTTTAAAGTAGAAAGGAGAGATGTTGAGGGAATTCACTCAGTTGGACTGACTCGTAAGTAAATCATGTTGGGGCAAAAAGGGGTCCAGGCCAAAACTGGGAACTAGAGGAAAGTAGAAAAAAGCATAATTGTGTTTTAATAAGATTTGTGATTTTTACTATATTTTGCAACCCCTGTCCTTTTTTTAATGAGTAGTGAATTGAGGTAAATGTGCATACGTTAGGAATAAGTAATTATTATAGCCTCTATTTACCTAGATTTCCACAGAAACCATGTTTCCTGAAAACATCTGGGGTTAAATCCTATGCATTAGAGAAGTATATTGTTTAAAAGACGACTGAAGACCTTTTTCGTTCTCTTTTTTCTTTCTCTTTTCTTCTCCGCTTCCCCCCGAAACTGCCCAGTTCCTCTCTATCCTGGTACATGTTTTCTTTTAGTAACACTCTTATTAGCATTGTATTTATGATAATGTTAGTAAATGGTCAACTTAAAAGTGGTACAACTGAAGGGTCATGTCTTTTAAACTTTTGGATATAATTTTACTATATTTTTAAATACTGGAATATGGATATAATCTTATTAACTTGATAACTTCTGTATTGATGCTTTTTTCTGAAATGTTGGATTTGTCTTTTAAAAATTCCGTTTAATTATGTTTTAATCCTTAACTTAGAAGTTAACAGCTTGCAAACATTTGCTATTCCAGGCTCTATATTTCTCAGTATACTCTCAGGGTTTCTTTATCCCTTTCCACTAGCCTTATTTCTTGTTTGTTTGGTAAGTATATAAAGTGAAATTGGGAGACTAGGAAAAAAGTGGCTTTAGATAGATGATGAGGATGGTGATGGCATCCTAGCCCCAGTAGTCTATGTAAGCGTAAGCCCATTGGTTTTAAGTGGCATTTAATGTTGAAGTATATCTGAGTCCCTCCATAAGGAGATATGATAGTTTTTTCCCTAGAACAAGGGTATCGGAGACTTAATTGCATTTATAGGCTCTGTTTTAGCCTTTCCTTCCTATTGTATTTTGCAATTCAAGTAGTCCAAGAGTGTTGGTGGGCACGAGAGGAGTTAAGTCCTGCGGCTGGGGGTGGTGTTTTCAAGCACAGCAATTGAAAGAAAAAAAAATTGGCTCTTGAAGTTTTATTCTTAGGCTAAAGGCTAACACTAACTGTTTGGATATAGTTGGTAGGTTCAGTGACAAGTGCCAGTTTGTTTTAGCTGGTCTGATTTTAGTTATAATTTGGTCTGACCGAGGACTAGATCAGATGGGTTCTTGTTCTCTGCACAAGAGTTGTCGTGCAGAGTAATCCCCATACAGCGAAAGCAGTAAACTAGTTGAGCTTTGCCTTAGGTGAATATATCCATGTGAATGAGATGAAAAAAATACAAAATGCTTATGGCTTCTTGATATTTTCTAGTGTTCTGGACTCGGTGCCTCATTCTGCTATATGCTCTCCTATTTAGTTGGGAGGCCAGTTGTATACAAATACCTAACAGAGAAAGCAGTAAAATGGTCACAGCAGGTAAACATGTATTTTTCAATTATTTAATGTAATTCTTTGGCTAATTGGGAGGTCAGTGTGTAGTCCCTATGTAAATTAACTCAGACTCAGGGCTTTAATAAAAATGATCTTTTGACCAAAATAAAATCAAGTGGTAGGCAAATAATGAATTTTAATCATTCCAAATATGAAGTTTTTGTACCTGTAATGGTCATTTTAATTCTTCATTCCTAGTAAGTTCAGTCAGAGCAGAGAAGTCAAAGTGTTGATGTAAAGGCATCCACGTATTTAGACACGTCAGCTATTTTGCGTTGATGCCGTGTGCTGTCAGTGGGTCACTGAAACGCTTGTATCGGCCAGCTCCTTTACTGCATTTCATCAGTGGGAACAACTGTTGTCTTCAGTCAGGATCTCCGCAAAGACTGGCAATGAGAAACATAAGCACTTACACAGAGAGGTCTAACAGTATTGCTAAGAAAATCATACTTTTATAAAAAATCAGAAGAAACAGACTTAAATCCCGGAGGAATTTTAGAAATCATCCTTCTTTACCCCTTTGTTTTACAGATTAGGAAATTAAGAGAAACTAAGCATTTTGCCCAAAATCACAATAATTCTTTGTAAAGCAACATGTAGGGAGTATAAACTGTAGTCAGTGCTTTTATTTGATTGGCTAAATATTTCCATATACTTGTTTAATGTCATTTGTCAATAATGAATGTGTTCACTCATATGATGTATATTGTAATAACATAAAATAAAGATTATCTGAATTTTTTTTAATTGAAGGCTAGGTTTATTGATGTGCTGTACTAGTTCTTTACATTGTAGGAAATCAAAGACATTGAAAAATTGGTCACTTGATGTGTATCTTATATCTAGTTATAAGTTTAATTTTGCCAGTTTAGGTTTAAAATGTGGTTGAGCCATATTACCTAGGCTGATTCAGAACCATCTGTAGTGGTGTGACATTTAGCTATGAGCACAATTTTAAAAACTCTCATCTCATGTTATTTAGCTCTGGTAATGAGTAATTTGATAAGTAGTTCATGGTCATTTTCGAGCTCTGTTTTGATCATTTGTGTTGGATAAACTCTAAACTATTGGGGATGAGAATTTGAAATAAGATATTTTATATTAAGCAACTCATTTTCAAGATCAGCCTTATCTTGATCCTGATTTGTTTCTTTCTTATGACAGGTTGAACGTCATAGGGAACATCTCATTAACTACATTATATTTTTGAGAATAACACCGTTTCTGCCTAATTGGTTTATTAATATTACATCTCCTGTGATAAACGTGCCGTTGAAAGTCTTTTTTATTGGCACTTTTCTAGGTAAGGCCTCTGGTTCACACTGTGTTAGACCTCCTTGTGTACATCTCTAACAGTGTCCAGCTGGGCTGGATTTCATGCTCTTTGCAGACATGCCAGCACCATATATAACTTTGGGGCATAGAGTCTGGCTTATGTAAGTAGATGCTGGGAAATGTTTGCTCACTTGTATCGATTTAAATATTTTTGTGTTACTTCTTTTAAAGAAGAGCACATTCTACTGGATCTTTTTTTAATCATACAGGATTAAGCAGGACTTTTAAGCTCCGTTCTCTCACTCAGTGGAGAGAAAAAAAAATTAAGGTGCCTTTTTTGAATAATTTTCTCCCTTGTCTTCTAATCACATACTGAAATATTGAACTTTAATTTTCAGTGAAGAATTGATCCTGGTTTTTTTTTTTTATTGACCTCAATTATTTTTAATGAGCATTACCAAGAGTATGGGGAAGGCAAGGATCAACAAAAGGTTCTTGCTTTCAAGGAGCTGCCACTTAATTTTGAAATTAATCAGTGGACATAAAGATTCACTTACATATTTTGTGAAGTCAGGTGGTTCTTTACTAAGAGGACTCTACTTTTCTTTCAAATTTAAGTTGAGTTGTTTTGTCGTTAGTGCCATTGAGTTGATTCCAGCTCCTAGTGACCCTGTGTACAGCAGGGCTGAACTCTGCCCTGTCTTTTTGCACCATCCTCTCACTGTCTTTGCAGAAGTGGGTGGCCAGGTCCTTCTTCCTAGTCTGTCTAGTCTAGAAGCTCTGCTGAAACCTCTCCACCATAGGTGACCGTGTTGGTATTTGAAATACTTGGTAGCATAGCTTTCGGCATCACAGCAACACACAGCTGCCACAGTATGACAGATGGGTGATGAGGTTCCCTGTCTGGGAAACGAACCTAGGCTGCAGAAGTGAGAGCGCCGAATCTTGACCACTAGGCCATCAGGGCTGGCTGTTGAAGTGTTTAAAGACCAACAAAATGAGCATGTTCCTCATGTATTGAGTGTCTGTTAAATTAAAGCCTAAGTTAATACTTAGGAGAATGGACCTTTTGGAAAGAATAATAAAAATCAATTTTTGATTGCTCCTTTTTAAAAACTTCATTGACAAACTTAAAAATCTTAGCAGGGGTAATTGTGGAATTTATAAAATGATGTTACATTCATGGAATCAGAAGAGAATTTTTGTCCCTATCTCCTTATTTTACAAGTTGAAATACCTAAAGATTTAGTTAACTTCAGCTTTGGCTAAAGTAACTTTTCCAGTTTGTTTTGCTTTTTAACAGAATGTGATTGTTCTGCCTATGCTCTTGTATAAACTGCTCTTTTTACTCGTGTTTTGAGTATCTTTCTATTTCTGATATCTCCTACCACTTCATTTTTATTTTAAGTATATCCTATTAAAGATGAATGACAGTTCACTTAATCTTATTTTTGAACATTGAGATTGTTTCCAGATTTTTAGTATTACGATGCTTTGATGAACATTCTCAAGACTAAATTTTTGCTCATATACATTAGTGTTTCCTAAAATTGAAATTGCTAGATCAGAGCACGTTCTTATTTTTAAGGTTGCTGACAAATTTTGTAAAATTATTTTCTGGAAGCTTTTCTTGGGTTTTTTAATTGATTATCGTTAAGAGGTGATTATGAAAGTTTGAATTCTTTATATTTCAACTTGAGGGGCTTTAAATTAAAATTTTTCAAAATGGAGATTGTTATATTCTTGCAAGAAATCTTATGTACACTGAAAACTTTAATTTTAAAAAATAATTGATTGTTTTTGCTCTGGTTTTTTTTCCTTTTATTTTAGGTGTCGCACCTCCCTCTTTTGTAGCAATTAAGGCGGGAACAACACTGTACCAGCTCACAACAGCAGGGGAGGCTGTTTCCTGGAACTCAGTATTTGTTCTCATGATTTTGGCTCTGCTTTCTATTCTGCCAGCCATCTTCCAGAAAAAACTAAAGCAGAAATTTGAGTGAAAAATCATCTGGGTTTTAGATTTCCTATCATCATCATCATCTCAGGACTGGCAGGTTTATGTGTTAAAATCACCTCTGTAATTGAAACAAGGAATTTGTAAAATAAAGTTTACTATCATACAGTTAAAATAATATATTTAAGTGGGAAGGGAGAGAAGAAAGCAAAAATGGAAGTAGATGTACTATGAAGAGTGCTGTCAGTAGTTATGATAGACATCTCTTAAATTACTATTCTAAGGGTAGCTATCCATAATTAGTAGCAGTATAGTAGGAAGTTCTTGACCCAGCTGATTCATTCAATTTAATATCTTTCATGAACTGGCTATACATACTTACCCTTGACTTGATCATTTAATATTTTTCTCTCTTATCCTTTACTAATAGCTAAAATAGAAAAAGCAAATACAAAATACAAAAGCAAAGATTCTAGATATTTAAAAATAGTGTTGCTGTTCTGGCTAATGTTAGCCTCCTTTCAGAGCATAAACTTGAAAACTAAAGCTCTAAAGAGATTTACATTTCTTTTCCCTTTTTACCTTTGAGGTAAGGGATTTGTTTAGGAGTTCATCTCAGTGGACTACTGAATTTGGAAAGGATATCAAGTTATATCTACTTTGTGAATTCTATTTTTGTTTTTTTCTGTTCTAGATTATCATGGATTAGTCTGAAATTTAAAATTCTGACCAGTCTATTTTCATTTTTTCTTCTAGCTTTCACAATGCTTCCACTGTGCGTATACAAAATGGCGATTACATGATAAATGTATCATACTGGTGTTGATAATTTATATTCAGATAATATTTTGTTACATAGTTTCCTTTTATCTCAAAAGGGGATCAAAAAAGCAAACATTCAAAGTATGCAGTTTTTAGATGTTAGAGTGATTATATGACTTTATATTTTGAAACAGAAGCAGTGGCAGGGTAACACTTAAGTGGTTAAATGTAGTTTATTTGTTCCAATGACTGTAAAATGTACCTCATTTATTTATTAATCTGGTCATTAAAGTATGTATTATGTAATTATCCTTTTTATGCATGATACGCTTATAAGAATGCCTTGTTTCGTTTCTATTGATGGCCTTTTGGTTTGGGGCTGGTTTTGATTAATGCAGTTTCCCAATTTAGTGTTTTTACTTTTTATAACTCAAAGTAAAGTTAACTTCTCACATGATAACTGCTATATTTAAACAGTCCTGGAAAAACTAATCAGCTTTTTGCTTCTTGCTTAATGGTAATCCCCTTGATTCCTTGATTCCAGGACACAGCTGATCTAAAGTAAAGTACTCTGTCGGTTTTACCTTCACCAAGACTGTCAAGTTGAAAAGTACTTTACCTGTGGGAGAAATCCTGTTGTGAGAAGTGTGATCATCCTCAAAGCCTGTTTCTACTACATAATGTGGACTGATTATTTTTTCTATCACAGTATTAACAAATGGATTTATTGTAAATACAAAGAAAATATATTAATTAATATACTATTCTTATGTCACTTTGCCTTTTGTGTGAAATTATTTATTGTTATTTCTAGCAAGGTTTTCTTCTTTTCTTATTGACCAGAGGCTGAGTGATAAAGCTTTTGTTATTTTTACAGTTGAACTTACAACATAGCCTTTTTGGACACAGTTCACTAAATATTGCTATATAAAATGTAATTGAGTAAATTTTTATCAAACTTTTAAAAATCAAAGTAAGAGTGTGGACTCAGAAGAAGCCTCACTGTTACTCCAGTGTGTATATATTGTACTTACTCTGTTCTCAGAGTATTTTCCCTGTCTTTATCATTGATTCTTTCCCTTTCCTGATTATTTTTTCTGTTAGAAAACTGTAACTGCCACTTAAGGTGGGATATCTTTTCTTCTCCCAAGAGAATAGCCAGTCTTTCCAGATTCATCATCATTGACTGTCAAGAAAGAACCCTTCAGGCTGTACCCTAAATGCAGTTGGCGGCCTGTATTGACGGGGATCCGCAGACTTGGCCTGATGCCAGATCTGGAGTCAAGCTTCAGCCACATCTTGGAAAGAAGTACATAGTAATAACTACAAGAGGGTACAGATGTGTAGTGGGGAGGTGAGCAAGCCACCTAGGGAGTTGACACACTGACTGAGACATTCCCCTCTTAGTTAAAGGCCTCTCTCAGGAGCGCCATTACTTTGAGTGTAATATTTCTAAGACACTTAATAAATGCAAACTGAGAGGTAATAATAAATTGTACTGAAAAAACTTAAATGTACTATTTGGGATTTATTTCACCCTTCACTTTTTTTTTTAATTTATTTTTCCTTCTTCTCCCCAAATCCCCCTGGTACATGGTTGTATATTTTTTAGTTGTGGGTCGTCCTAGTTATGGCGTGTGGGATGCTGCCTCAGCTTGGCCTCATGAGCGGTGCCGTATCTGTGCCCAGGATCCAAACCGGTGAAACCCTAGGCCTCTGAAGTGGGAGCGCTCGAACTTAACCACTCGGCCACGGGCCCAGCCCCTTAGGATTTATTTCGTGGAAGTGTTTGTATTAAAAAACCTTTCCTTGAATAAAAATATATTCTGTTAAAATTCTGATGCACATTTTCCACCTGTAAGAACAATTTAACAACCTTTAATTTTTGTAGTTGGCTTTTGAGAACCTTAGAGCAACTTTTAAAATTGTAGAGGTAAGTAAATAAAGGTAAACATCTAAGTTTCTAGTACATATATTGGTTTCTCTATAAAGGAATCTTTTAAAAGTTCTCTTTGGCTTTTTGAAAATATATAGACTAAATTAAAAAGGCTGAAGCTTTTCTGGTGTGTAAATGATCGTTCCCTGATTGTAGTTTAGATGTTTAGAAGGTGGATTTTATTGCAGTTTCAATACTCTATTCTGATTATTCTTTTTATTTTTTAAAGATTGGCAGCTGAGCTAACAACTGTTGCCAGTCGTCGTCTTCTTTATTCTCCCCAAAGCCCCCCAGTACACAGTTGTATATTCTAGTTGTGAGTGCCTCTGGTTGTGGCATGCGGGACGCTGCCTTAGCGTGGCCTGACAAGTGGTGCCGTGTCCATGCCCGGGATCCAAACCCGCAAAACCTGGGGCCACCGCAGTGGAGCACGTGACCTTAACCAGCCAGCCATCGGGCTGATCCCCACTTCTTTTCTTCTTTATCTGGGAAAAACTTGCTAAGCTGGGTGACTTAGGGGGATATTGTTTAAGATCTAGGGTTCATTTTCTCATCTGGACCAAATCAGCTCTAAACTCCACCTTCCTTACATCTGAGACATGATAGGATTCTCTGAAATTAATGAAAAAGTTTTTTTTCTTTAAGATTTTATTTTTCCTTTTTCTCCCCGAAGCCCCCCGGTACATAGTTGTATATTTTTAGCTGTGGGTCCTTCTAGTTGTGGCATGTGGGATGCCACCTCAGCGTGGCCTGATGAGTGGTGCCATGTCCGTGCCCAGGATCGGAACCAGCGAAACCCTGGGCCACTGAAGCAGAGCGCGGGAACTTGGCCGCGGGGCCGGCCCCTGTATAACTTGTTTTATAGCCTACAGTGTGCTTTCACATGCATTGTCTCATTTAAATGAATTAACCGTTTTATTTGCAATGAAATACTTGAGAAAATAAAGGCTATTTCCATTTGGTTATTTGCTAGTAATAGTAGGGTAAAATGGAAATCATCTAGGGGGCTAAACGGACTCTCTTGAAGCGTTCTTTCATCCTAAAATACTTGGTATGAAAAATAAACCATAATATCAAGTCTTCTGATGACCACTGTGTTAGCAGAGACTGCACTTTGAGAATAGAAGGTGGGGAAACTCACTGAACTCCTAAATTATATTTTGGAGTCTGTCTGGGCTCCTTAATCTAAGGATTAGTATCATCTAGCATCTGGAACTGTGCCAAGTAGCACTCTTGTGCTGACTGGACTGCTAGATAAAGAATGCTGGGGAGGGGCTGGCCTGTGGCCCAGTGGTTAAGTTTGCACGCTCTGCTTCTGCGGCCCAGGGTTTCACAGGTTTGGATCCTGGGCTGGGACATGGCAGCACTCGTCACGCCATGTTGAGGCGGCGTCCCACATGCCACAACTAGAAGGACCTACAACTAAAATATACAACTACTGGGGGGTTTGGGGAGAAAAAGCAGAAAAAGAAATGCTGGGAAGAGAAATTGACCCAGTATTAGCCACGAAAGTTCTGGAGTACCACCTCAAAGTCTAAGGCTAGTTTTCAAAACTACTCTGATATCAACATCATAATATGGAAGATGAGGGAGAGAATACACTGTTCAATTTTGTTTATTTTAGACGGAAAATTAGTCATATTTTAGCATTGTCTCAACCTTCTAGAGTGAGTCTATAAGAATTTTCATCATGAAATCGTAGTCTGGAAGATGATGTTTTGCCCAGCACCAACTGACACTTCTTAAGAAAATGGATTATTTCTTGAAAGCTGACAGGCCCAAGCAGACTTGAGTGTGTTGATTCAAGATCCCTACTTATTTCCAAGGTTCCTTGGTGACTAGATCAGCACTCTGGGGCTTGCTTTTTTTCTTTTTTTTTTTTTTTATGATTTCTTTTTTATTATTATCTTTTAATTTTTTTAATTATTTTTTTTTTAAAGATTGGCACCTGAGCTAACAACTGTTGCCAATCTTTTTTTTTTTCTGCTTTACCTCCCCAACCCCCCCTCCCCCCCCCCCCGCCCCGTACGTAGTTGTATATCTTAGTTGCAGGTCCTACTAGTTGTGTGGGGCTTGATTTTTAATTGATACTAGAACACCAATCGAGGTTTGTGGTGGTGAGTTTTATATGTCAATTTGACTGGGCCACAAGATGCCCAGAAAGCTGGCTAAAAATCATTTCTGGATGTGTCCGTGAGGGTATTTCCAGGAGAGATTAGCGTTTGAATTGGTGGTCTGAGTAAGTCAGTCAGCCTTTTCCAGTGTGGGCGGGCATCATCCAATTCACTGAAGGCCTGAATAGAACAAAAAGAAGTTGAATTTGCTCTCTGCCTGACTGCTGAGCTGGGACATTGATCTGCCTGTGGCACTTCTGGTTCTCAAGCCTTCAGACCTGGACTAGAGTCTACGTCATTGGCTCTCAGGCATTTGAACAATACCACCAGCTTTCTTGAATCTCTGGCTTGCAGATGGCAGATCCTGAGACTTCTCAGCCTCCGTAATTGCATGAGCCAATACCTTGTAATAAGTCTCTCAGTTCTGTTTCTCTGGAGAACTCTAATACAAGGTCATAGGGTACTGTTAACTAGACAACATGTCAAAATGTTATAGAATTATAGGCTTTGGAAGTGATGAAGGAAAGTGATTGATACAAAAAAGTTAGAATTTATTGTCAGGAATGACACGTGGTCTCAAAGATGCAAATGCCCATGTAGCTGTAGTGGTATGTGTGACTCTGCAATAAGGTATTTGGTAATGTGGATAATTGTCGGAATTTAAATGTATGGCTTCTGGCTACACAAAAATAGGAAAAATAATCTCTACCTATATGTAAGGCTTGGGAGCTTTTGCATCAAGTCGTGTGATAAGAGTGCTATGGGTTGCATTCTGGAACATCAGGCCTAGCTGGATTCAAACACTACAGGAACAATTTTTCGTGAAGTCTAAGTGTAGAAACTGACTCCACCAAAGACCTGAGAGGCACTTGAGTCTTTGTTAGGTATGTAATTTGGGTGGAGAAGCAGCAGCATGGTTGTCTTCTGATAACAGTTCTGACTAGCTTTGTTGGGAAGAAAGGCGTCAGTTCAGACTTCAGGAGCTAGGGTTGACTTCAGAGGGCCAATGAGAAAGGTTCTGGGAGATGAAAATAAAAACATTCACTACCTTTTGGTCAAAATACAAGCAAGCCCTGAGCATCAGTTTGCTTCAGCTGTGAATGTGTGGGAAGGCTTGGTCACAAGCAGAACAGAAGCCTAGCCCACCCAAGAGTGTATGGGGAAGGTTCTAAGCAAACAGGGCTGCTGGAGTGGGGGTTGGGAGTGGGTGGGGCAGAAGTGCTAACCCATTAGTTACTGTTGTGGTGAAGATAGGCATTTGGGGGAAGACTGCACTCATGTCCTGGTACTCCATAAAGTGTGGTTATTAGTAGGATTCATTGATTGCAAGCAACAAAAATTGACTCTGGCTTGAGCAAAAGGATATTTATTGGCACCTCTGGAGGCTAGGACCCAGAAACACTGGAATGGCCTCATAGCAGGATGGAGGTGGCACTACCTCCAATGGAATGAATAAAGCACAAGTGTCTTCATCTTGTTGCTCAGGATTCACGTTCCAGGGGTCGTACGCCCACCAGTCAGCCAGGAAAGAGCAGGGCATCTGATTACGGTTCCACCAGACTAATGCAAAAAGATTCGAATGCTGGTAGGAAGGTGAAATGGATTCAAGGTAACTAAAAATGGAAAATCGAAAACAAGAGGAGCTGGAGTGATTGATCCTTGTGAGCAGAAAGCTTGGAGGTCATACATACCATGTCCTTTCCCTTTACAGTGATAGAGACCTTGAAATGAGACACTGAAACAGTCAGGGAGCCCATCTAATAATATGCCCTGTCAGGGTGTGGGACAGAGACAGAAGACCTGGTTCTGAGGGTGGGGAGAGTGGCAGAATATCCTGCCTGGGAACTTACCCAATTTGGAAGTTTTGCTGTTTTATCCAGTAAGAATGTGCAATACAGAACTCTAAAATTGAGAGCCCCAATTTTGCTTCTCTGTCAGTCTTCATCCTAAAAATGGCTCCATTCTGTAGGGGAGGAAGACATTTCCTCTACCCACTCTAGGTCCTTCTGGCTGGGCTATGAATTAAATTCACATGAGACAGAGTAACAGGAGAAAATTAAACAAAGTTTTATAACATGTATACGTGGGAGAGACTCAGGAAAACTGAGCAACTTGCCAAAATGGCAGAGGGTCTCATCTTAAATACCATCTTCAGCCAAAAACAAAGGAGGATGTTAGGGGTGGGGAGAGTCAGTTATGGGGGATTACCAGAAAAGCACTGTAAATAAGAGTAAGATTATGATGTAGATTTAAGTCCTTGCCTTCCGCATTGATGAAAGTTTCTAGAGATAAGATCATCCCCACTTCCTGGTACAGAGACGGAGACACCTTTACAGATGGAGAGTTCCCTTAGAAATGTTAATGTCTCTTACAAAGGGTAACTTCTACTTTTCAGAGTTTCTCTCATGTCTGCAGTTTTTAAAAGTAACGAGCTCAAAATAATCCTCATGACAGAGACATATC